GGCGCAGGAAGGAGGACAATACACTGCGTTTCATAATTATAGGTCCACCCTAAATTTTTGCTATTCCAAAGTTGCTGTGCATTTTTGGAAAATGCTGCTATCACCATAGATTCCTCATCACGGAAAACCTTCATAGTGTTTTTCTGACAAACCTCAAGTAACCCAATTAACTTTTTCAGAACGAATTTTCACCGTTTCATGAATATCGGGCCACTCATAAAAAGTTTCCATTTCTCATGATCCGTGAAGGGAATCAGGGAAGCGGGGATATATGTGAGCTCAGTCGACATCGAGTTTACCATACCTCGTGTTACTCGCCTCTCTTCCCAGTAACAAGCTCAAGCCAGAGCACTTACTGAAGTGGGATGGCTGAGGAGCAGAATTTCCTCCCATGTCGGCCGGCTCATACTGCATAAGCAACTATGTGCAAAATCCTGGTCAGTGCGGAAAGAAGAGTAGCTGGTAGGTAAATAAAGACTGCGTTTCCTTCAAAATTTAAGAGGAATTGGGCGTCTTCTGTCGAATTATACAAGGAGTCCGAACAAAGTCCGTGCTGAAATGCGGCCTTCCGTGAGCAAAACCACCGTGTGGTGAGTAAGCCAGCAGAGCAATAACATCTTCAACGGATTGATGAAGAGCGTTCCAAGATTATTTGAGCGCTACAAGATCGCACGTCTCCATTTCTCCGTGGAAAAGGGCTCAACTTAATGAGCGAAGGTGTGGCTGTTAAGACCCTTCGCGATCTTGGACTCTACCTCCTTGTTTCATGCTACAGGTGATCTGGGATCGACGTGAAAAAGTTTATTCTAGGTGGATCTGATAGAAAAAGAGGGTACAGGAGGGATCCCGTGAAAATCGCAGATGGTTTCAATGTAACGTAATTTCGGCGGAGAATCCCTTATGGTTTGAGGCACCTTTGAACGACTGAGCGGCTAGAGCTCGCTTTTGTTTCCTTTCATGAGGATTCCATAGGGTATCGTGAAGTTCTTTTGAAGCGAATTTACCATTTTTCGACAACAACCCCTCGATCCTTGATTTTTACGCACGATAACGCGGCTGTCCATGCCGGTCCTTCCACGCCAGATGGAAGTGCAGGAAAAAATGTGGCAGTTATCTGGTGGCCACCATGTTATCTGAATCAGATTCCAATAGAGAATCATTGGGCCTTAATTGTTAAAAGTTCCACAGCAAAGAAAAGCAAAATGGAACAGCCGAAGAGCTGAAAACGTCGATCATCGGCGCACAGACAAATTTCGATCCTACTGTAATAGCTAATTTGGTTACCAGCATTCCAAAACGTATTATTGTGTTCCTTATGACTAATGGAGGACCATCCCATTATTGAAAATTTGTGACGTTTTTTTGTTATAATAAAATCTCTCGACAAGTGATGTGTAGTCATATTTGCGAAACGGTGAAAATACGTTCTAAGGAAGATATTTTAATAATTCTGAATCGAGATTTCTCCAGAAATCAAGTATCAAGGTTTTTCGTTATGGGGAAACTATTGGTAATAGCGGCATTTTCCAAAAATGCACAGCAACTTTGGAATAGCAAAAATTTAGGGTGGACCTATATTTATGAAACGCAGTGTAGTGTGCGAAGTTGGGCTGGTGCGCCACGCACTTTGCTTCACTTGGAAGCGCAGATGAAATCTTAGGAATAAATGGGTGGCAGTACCGTCCAATAAGTTTGCTCAGTGACTGCTGAACTGGTAAATCCACCTTCTCAGATGTTTTTGCCATTTCTGATTCGGGAGGCGATGGAGAGCTGATTAGCCGCCATTAGCTCCAGCGCTATTCTGTTCATGGGCAGAAATGATGTGCATGAAGACAAAAATGTTAGTAGCTCCTAGAGGGAAACGACTACTTATTGAAAGGCGAAGTGGTCGTTAAAAGGTTACAAATTTAGATTCTACGTTTACAATTCTTACAAGCGTCAAGTGAAGATAGCAAAGGCCTACTTTGACTATGTACTAGTTGACATTTAAACGAGTTGATCAACCTAAATTTCAGACCAAATTAATTATTATTATTGAAGTCTATATACAGTGTATTCGGTTGCGTGCTCCTCTGCATGATTAATTTTTCAAGTAAGTTGTAAGAGAAGGTTGGGGATCCCTCCCTAGTTGAGCGGCTTTGCGACCAGGCTCCTGGTTGAGTTTGTAGGGGTCGTACCAAATTAGTATCAAATCCAGTTTTGGGGAGGGGGGGGGGTCGTAATATATTTCGAAAGTAACATACGGATAGGACATGACCCTTCGCTTCACAGCCACTGAGAGTCGGAATGTGACGCAGACCTCTGATTGCTCTAGGTGAAGATTCGCTCGGAGAGGGGGCACGCAATGGGGCGGCGCTGTTTTGTCTTGTTTTTGTCTGCTAACTTCCAAGCTTAGGCTCTGTGCATACGTATTCGAACTGCCCATAAGCTTAAGTAGGAATGCTACTGTGACTTGAGTTGTAAGCCTTGGAGAAGCACGGAGAAAGACGGAGAGGAAACAGTAGCGAACACGCCATGCATGCCCCACCCTGACCCTGGCGTGTAGTTTACCCTATATATATAGAGATAGGGTTCTCCTTATGGAGTGGCGGCAGTCTCTTATGGTTAGGAATCTTCTTTTTGTATGTTTCTTTCGTAATATTCATTTCGTATAGTTCACTCGTTTTCTCTTGTGTGTTATGCCGACGGTCTCCTAATCTTTCCCAGGTACATATTATATCCTTTGTGGCTTATAATGTTCTGAGCATTTTACCTTCACATAAAGCAGTGCAACTTAATATATTTTCTCGCGTTACTTCAGAACGACTTGACTCACACACTGCGCCATGCATTTCGCACTCGTATGTCATGCACTGTCGATCAATCGTCTATTCACCATTCGCCTTGGTCCTCTAGAAGATCCCGCTTATCGTCTGGGACCCTACGCACGCACACTCATACTTACTTGTTTGCAGTGAAAGAGGCCTTGCTTATGAAGCCATTGCATCGCCGTACGCAGAGCATTCACGCGCCGCTTTCCCTTTGCTGTGAGGAACCCACTAGTCTCTAGTTTTGCACTTTTCGATGGACAGACCCCCACTCGAACCCGTCTTACGGGCTCGCAACGATTCCATCTAACCGCTGTCAGGGTAAGGTGTGCACAGTGAAGTTACATTTGTCTGACGTTGACTTATCAGCACGTTGGAGATAATCATGAAGCAGCTTGTGTCATCGAGGCGCGCATCGTGCCATCTAGTGTTATCTGACGGGCTAGCGAATCTGATCCTGTATACCAAATACGTAGAACTTGGAGGTTTGAGGAGAGGCTCGGATTCTATGTGGCACACCACAGGGAGTAGCGTTTTTTATTACATAAAAGCTTGCTTGCAGTAGCTAAGTGGCGAACGCGGTGTTCGTGTTAGCCTACACGAACTAGGGGTCGAGGCTTACTCTGGCTCTTCGGTGACGAGGAAGGGGTTAAGGTTGCGCGTAGGGATAACGAAAAGAAAATAAATGCGTCAAAACATTGTAGGCCTTCAAAATGCCTGTTACAAAAGACTTAGAACAATTTTCTTACAAAAGTTTTGTAAAAGTTCGCAAGTGTCCAAAAGCTCAAAAGCCTTTTTTAGTGAGCTTTCGGCGCTCAGCGCTTTGTCAAGCTGAAAATACCTGAAATGATTAGCTTTGTTCAACTAATATATTGAAACTATATTAACTACAAAACTTCATTTCTGAATTGCAGGACTTGCAAAGGCGCTAAGCGCCGAATTGCGCCAAGAAGGCTTCTAAAGCACTTGCAATACCTTTGCAAACCTATTGTAAATGGTTTTGTGTTTTTGCAACGAATATTTTGGAACCTGTTCTCGTTTTTACCATTCAGACTAGCATGAGATTCCGGCATGGAATAACATCGAGGAAAAGTAATAAATCTTCGCACACGTCTTATGTTATTCATTTGTTTTGCTTCATGTGTAAATTTTGCGACAAACTGCAATATACAGAAACCACGATTGCATTTATTTTTAGCAAGGAGGTGGACCGGCTGCTGTACGCTGGGCGTTCTGCAGGCTGTTGTAGTACATCGTGTTTGTTCTAAGAAGTTGAGCGAGTGTGCTGATGGTGATCGGGCTCACGGTGTCAAGATGCTGACACAATCGCAAGTACTCATCCGGGGTTATCGTATGCTGGTACATGAGAACGTTCAAGGCGTCGCACGCCAGTGATCTGAAATATAATCGATTGAATGAGATGGAATAAAGACACACAGGGCAATAGAAAAAAGACATTCTGTCTCCACATTCAAACCGATTTAATCACACTCTGCTAAATTCGAACCGAATGGTCTCAGTTAAAATGAAAGAGCACATTCCATTTCATAAAATAAACTTCATATTGCCCTTCAAGGTGGACGAAATCGGAAAAATTAGCACTGAAAACATGGTGTACTGGTCGTGCTCAATGGGGTCGTGGACGGACCCCATACCATTACGACGTTTTCTGAAAAGCGGGTTCCGAGGGGGTTTGCATATTCAGAGCTAATGTTTCTAGGAAACTATCCAACGATGAATCGATTGAAGAAATTGTAAGAGCTTCAGGCTGAAGCAGTTACTGTAGGCCTCCTTGAGCTCGACGACGGTGACAGATGACGTCATATTCTGAAGACGGTGAGGGCAGTGAAGGAGGGCCTGCGTCACTATAGAGGGACATTTAGGGAATACTCTGCTGAGGAACTTCCGTCAACGACGGCAATCTCTGCGAAGAAAAAAAAGGCCGAAGTGCGACATAGGCAAAATGTCTTTTTTTTTGCCCCCTGCTGTATGTGTTTCAAACAAGATATCGCAATCACCTTTGTAAGGCAGCGCTCAGAATTTGGGACCGCACCTACGTTTCGGCAATTATGCAGAAGGAAAAATTGATCAGGCGAAAAAGTGCCTACAGTCGACTCATCTCACTGAATGATCGCCTAGTCGCCTACTCTCCTTCGCTCAACTGCTGAATGGTCTACTTGCTGACTCTATCCGCCTGCCTCATCCTGCCTCGTAAACTCTGAACAAAACCCAACTCTTCAGCTCTTGTCACGCTATTGTTTCTGATGCAAATATGATAACATAAAGAGAAGTAGTGTAGACGTGCACATTCCGTGGGTCAAATGCAGGATCAAGTCTCACTCTGGACACCCACACCCTTCATCCCTCCGGACTGGTTAACTGCTACTTCTTACTTGTTGCTAGTGTGAATGAGAAACACACGCCGACTGATCCAACCTAGTCATTACATACATCAAATCGCATTCATTGTACTACTAACTGCTTCTGGATGATAGATGTACAATGCATGGCGCATCCGACAAGGAATTGATCAATGTCGACAGCCTGATTCTTCTTCCTTCACTCATCGTCAGCCTTTATACAGCAATCATATGATCCGGAATAAATTTTGTGTTTGGAAGGTTCTAAGTCAGGTGCTTTCGGGAAGTGTTGAATCAAGTGCTCAAAATCAGTCAAGTGCTTGGTTGGTCGAGAGATTTCGATGGCATGAGGAGAAAGAAAGAAAATGCGAACGTCAGCGTGACATTATTCCTAAAGTAGGAATTGTGGAGTGGATAGATTTTAGGCGACCTAGCTCCTCCCCTACTCCTGCCGTGAAAATGGCACTATCTGCATGCTTGGAGATAGCGTCAAGCTTGCGCCTATTGCGCAAACCCAACCGAGGACGGAGGAGGGAAAGGGGAAGGGGGTCGGTGGATATCATATCTGGGTTTCTAAGAGGCTGAGTGAGTAAGAGATGAGATAAGGTGATCGGGTTTTAGATTTCCGGAGGGGTCGAGGTGGAAAATTGCGTTGTGCTGCACTGGAGGAAAGGGTGTAGTTTTGAGCATTTTGGCGAGCTTTTCGACGATTTGGTGGAAATTTTATGAAAGAGCTGTGAAATGAAGAAAATCAAAGCAATCAGAAACCATGCTTGCCCTCAACTCCACCCCCTATCCCCCTCCCTCCCCATTCACTTCGTCGTCAAATGAATGAAAATAGTGGGAGGAGTTGGTTGTGTCAAGTGTGGAGACTTGTCTCGGAATCAAATTCTGTAGAAACTCCCATGGTGGTGCAGTTGGCGATAGGGAATGGTTAACGATTCGACGTGTGGGGAACTCCCGAAAGATGCCGGCAGGAGTGGTGTCGAAGCGCCTTCAAGAGCGGGAGAACCTTGGAAATTATTGAAATTGGAATAACGAACGGTAGACCCTTCATTCAGGCTAATCTGCTACTCAGCTGTGAAAATCCTACCGCTACCGTCCAGGGGATCGCGAAGTGGGACCTGTAGGAATAGCTTCAGCCTATTACCTATTCGATGAGGTGGGGTTCATTGTTTTGAAGCTTTGGAACGCTCAGTGCATTGTACTGATCATAAACACGATTCGCTCTGACTATGTGAGGAGCTTTCAGGTCAGTGTTGAACTTTACAGTCCGAACGATTCTCGATTCGCAGGGTTCGACAGGCCCAAGAGGGGGGGAGGAGGGGTCGGGAGTGCTCTGGTCACGGCAGTTTGATACTGCAAAGCATGAAGTCAATATTGCAACTGGTGGTGAAGTCTTGAGGAGCTCATACCGGCTGGTCGGAGATTGCATTTGTGAAACCAACGATTTTTCTATAGGAATTACGGCGAAACCTAGCAATACTATATTAACAGAGTGTAAAATCAAGTTCACTCACTTTTCTAACCGAACGTCTCCTACAGCTGTGGCCAGATGCGATGAGAAGGCTTCCGGTTGTAGATGAGCAACGTGTCGATTCATTGCAATCCATTCGAATGAAAGCTAAATGTTCAAGGTTGAAGTCAGTTCATCATCAATCCTAAATCCAAAATGTGTTCTGTTAGAGGGCTTCACTTTTCTGTTCCTTGACCGCGATCCACGGGATGCACCGGTCATGGGGGAATGCACCGCCTCTCGCTGGAGCTACTCGAGAGTGGGAGTCAAGTTATCAGTCGGCGCACTTCGCTGCTACCGGGAGGAGCGTTGCGCCGTGCAATGTGAGGAAGGCAGGCGATTCCAAGTCCCACGTGCACTTGGCAGTATGGTAGGGCATACTGCCAAGTGTACGAGGGCCTCCTCGCTGCCAATGGACGACGTGCTACAAGGAAGATGCGCTGGCTTGGCTCTTCTAGCCAAATAGGACGGTGACGACGTAGGACATCGTGGAGGACTATCGCCACAATAAATGTGAGTAAACCAGATGTGAAGTTTGTTGTATGGGTTTTGCATGGTAAATGGCAAAGCCCATCGAAACGCAGTTATTATTTTATGTGCTGTAATGCATTGCGAGGTTGTGGTCGAGGCAAAAGAACCCTCGGTCATTGGGCTGAGAGAGCCTGGGCCGGCGACCGTTCTTGCCTCGTGGGTTTTTGCCCTCTAACCTGTTTCCCTGGATAAGGGACCTTGCTCCGAGGAATAGAGGCCATGTTGGGAGAGAAACCAACGAGGTCCCCAGGAAGGAGCCACAGACAAGCGTCACTCTGAGAAAGACTGCAAGGGGCCCGAGCTGGAATCGGTCCTATCGTTGGGACTTTTGCGAAATTTTTACGACCCCCCTTCTCACAACAGATTTCGTACGACCCCTTACCCCTTCTTCACAACTTCTTTTTCCCTCGAAAAACACTGTCGAGCGGGGGCGGAGGGGGTACATAACTACCAAACAACCATGAAACGGCAGAAATTCCCTCTATTCTGCCTATTTTTTACCCGTTCCACTGCAACACTTTCTAGGGGAGTATATACGCACGCTGAAACGGCAAATTTTCTCCCGCGCGCTCTCACCTCATCACATGTAATTTCGTGCTACCGAAACAAGTACGACCCCCCCCCCCCCCCACCACAAACTTCAACAAACTACGACCCCCGTTGGTACTTGTCCCAACGTAGGGTTGACCCTGCCTCGAGCCACCTTAAAGCTTCCTGCTGGAGGGTGTCTCATTTTTTGGCTCCTACTCAACTTTGAACTTTCACTGCCTTTCTCAAAAATTGCCAGTCTGATTCCACAGCATGTCAGCTCTGTTGTAGCTAAATTCTTTCTGTGCAAGCACATTCCTCCATTAACTGTGTACAGCATTATTGAAGGTACGCTTGCTCTCTGACCGAGATTATGCCGATTACACAACTCGAATGTTGACTGTTTTTCTTAGCTTAGCAAGCCGTATGGCACTCACATTAGTTTTAGGCCTCATTCCTCACGCACCATGAAAGGTGTCTTTGAACAGGACGCTATAGGAAATGATGCACCATTCGAGGAATGACCACTGGGGCGAATGGCGTGACCTATCATGGGCCCCTCCCTGTTCATAGGGGATTGGAAGGTACGCATAATGCTCCGCTGCGACTAAACGCTACCATGAAATCAGGTCCCGCACTGAATCAGCTCTGCGCAGCTGGCTTGACGAATGTCTATCAGCGTTTTAGAGAGGTCTTGTACTTCAGAGGCTTTCCAGAACATTGCTATTTTTTGGAGTGAGCCTAGTGCGATGATTCTCAGCCGCTTCTTCTAAATACAGCCGTCACGAACCCGGCTCCATCCACTTTGGATGACCTGCTGCCGACCCCACGGAGTGGCTCTCATGGCAGTAGCATGAGGAGGCAAGTTTTTATACTTTCTGGAATAGGGGCTCCTTGCGGGATCGTCATCATCTCTAAGCCCATCCCAATTTTTTCCCGTGTAAATGAATCCTTGAAAGTCTAACTACCATTCAAGAACACTTGAAAGTTCTGCTCCCTACCTTCTTATTGGAACTCATATGTCGTCGTTCCATTATGGCACCAAGACGTAGTATTTCGTCAATGTTGACCCGAAGACGATCACCTGCTGAAACCAACAAATTCAGTCAGAATCGAATCCTCTCAGTTCGTTACTAATGCAACGTACGTAGAGGTTGAGGCTCCACAGGTTGCTGCTCATATTCCCTAGCTGTTCGCAGCTCCACGGGGATCGTCTCCCTTGGCACCGCAGCTGGTGGAGGCTCCTGTGGTGGCGAAATTCTCTTGGGCCTTGGTTTAGGCGGTGGTAGCTAAACTAAATCTCTTTCAAAGACGGCGAAAACAAGAGAGATTCAATCCCATACCTGTGGCTCCTCTTCAAGCCTCCGTGGAGCTGGAGGCAAAGGCGCCAGTGGAGTTGCTGGCCTTTCTGGCTCAATCCCTGGTACCTGTTGGTAGGTGATATAGAGAGCACGTTTCTTCCGGAAAGTTTAAAGCACAATGATCTTTACCTTCTCCATTTTTGGTTCATAGAAGACCTCAGCTTTCTCCACCTTCTCCTTTCGCATTTCCACGGGTTTCGGAGAAGGAATTGGTGGTGGTTCCGTAGGAGGAACTTCTCTTTTAGGCGCAGGAGGCTCCTCCATCTTAGGTGCTTGTTCAGGCGGTACTGCTGGCTTCTTGATCTCCTCCTCTTCGTGTTTAGCCACACGTGGAGCTCTTTTGCGTGGAGATTCCTCTTCTGGCTTCGGTGGAGGAGGAGTGGGAGGCGGTGGTGTGACCTCTTCTTCCCTTGGAGTAGGAGCTGCCGGTGCGGGTGATTCCTTAGGCTCCGGTGGAAGAGCCATTTTGATTGGAGACGGTTTTTCTTCTTTGGGCTTCGCCTTCCGGGCAACGCCCTCCGCTGCTTGTGGCGGCGCATGTTCATCCATTCCTTTGATTCTGTACGATGATTTAGTTATCAAGGAGAATTCTGATGGGTTAATGATCAGAGCATTTAGTTGGTTTGGAGTAAAAAACCGTGCTATTACACTAGTTTCGGCTGACTCAAAATATATCGCTGAAGTTTCCCCGATTGAGACTGCGAACACAAAATCGCGAAATCGTCAGCGATCTCGTAACAGGTTCGATCGTGGAAAGAGCAGTGATATCTACTGAGTACAGTTTTTTCCAAAGTGATTTTTTGCGAAAGAACGTACTTATCGCGTTTAGGAGAAGGCTCCATAGGTTCAGCCGGCCTCCTTAAAAGTTGTCCTTTAATAATTTTCCAAATAAATCCAATATCTGCTCAAGAACGATGGCGCTTAGTTCATATCAATAAAAGAGTAACGTTCTATATAGTGATCGCAGAAATTCAGGAATCTTATTGTTTTAGGTTTAAATGTCCAAAGAAACTCAAAAAACTCAATTACTTTTCAGGCTTGGGTGGTGCAGCCTTCGGCTTTTGTGTTTCCATGTATGGAGGGAACTTCTCTTCCATTTTCCTGAAAGGTATTCTTTACAAAACCGAAAAGAAGAGGCCAATTGGAGGCTCAAGGCAAAGACGACTCACGCGTGATGGACGCCTCAAAGGAGGGTTCCACGATAAGGTCGGAGATCGAAGAAGGAGAAACCTACCCAGTGGAAAGACAGACGGAACGGACTCCTGAAGGGATGGACCTATTCGCAGTTCGCAAGAAAAGAATGCCGCTAACGATCTAGCATGACTGTTTCCCGCACGGATATCGAACTTGTCCGCTCTTCCCCCCGCCGTCTGGCTCCAGCCGCCTAGTAGGGGAGCAGCGTTGATGAGGTAAGTTGCAATGAGACATGCCTTCTTGGGTTCCAGGCAGGTTTTCTTCGATGTTCCTTCATCCCATTCATCACTGACCACCCTGGTCCACCTTATTACTAATGGAGCGTCTTTTTCGTCAACTCCGCCTTTAAGAAAGAAATCACACATCTTCCACATGGCGTGCAGATCTCGTTTGCTAGTGTCCACGCCGATGGTACTCGGGTCACTTCTGTCCGCTTCAGTAAGAGCCAAATGGTGCTCATCTTACGTCTCCTAGGCTACACTGTTTTGGGGCGCCTCCAAAACGATTTGATACGATGCAAGCAGCAACTCTTCTTCATTCGAATCTTAGCGAGGTTAAATTCCCGGTCGTGGAAGTGACTCTACAGGCGTAGTTTAAAGAAAGCAGTTTTAAGCATTTTTTCTTGAAAGTTAGTCGAGAACCTATGGGGCATCCCTGTTCAAGATTTTCAGCCGACTGTGGGCAATTCAGCAAAGTGGAAATTGAAAAACCTTGTAGGCTTGCGAGCAGTTATCCTCCATTACTGTTCTGAGCGCGCCAAAGCAGATGATTTAAGCCACTGATGAGCGAAGGAATGTTGCTTGATCCAAGTGGCATTGATGTTGTTGAATTTGTTAAAGCTAAAACCTAAGATCAAATTGGTACGCAAAGTATCTCGTCCATTAGCTCCCATTAGACGCCACTGGCTAACTTTGTGAACTGCAACATCATTGTCGCCCCCTCAAGAGCCACAACAAAAGCTCATCTTTCTTGAAGTACCAATGCTTCCCTCAACCTTCGCTGGTAACTTTTCGAGAAAAAAATCATTCATTTGGTATGAAGATATCAATGCCCATTAGAATCTCCGATGCTCTTGGGATGCCGATATTCGTTACGCGATTGCAATGGGAGGGCATACATTCAGTACACGATGGAACGCGGAGTTCCATAAGTTCGCTCCCTCGGGTTATTTTGATTCCGTGTGGGTCAAAAATCAGTGAGCACAAGCTCTTACTTTTGCTCCTCCTCTTTTGGCGGTTGTATTCCTGGACTAGGTTGAAGGAACTCTTGCTCAATCCAGTGTTTTTTGTCCGGCTTCTTTTTCTCAGAAATCTTGCGCTGTTTCTTGTCGCTGGAAAGAGCAGGTATCAGGAGCGGTAAGGCTGCGTCAAATAAGTACGCTTGTTCAATCATTCGTCCTGTGCCAGAGCACGTTTCTTCTTTTATAAGTGACACTAGCTGACGGAATCTGCGTTAATTGAGCAGCTTGTGAGTACCCGTGTGAGCATACCCTCGCGGTTCTTCTCCCTAACATATTCTCCTTTTTTACAACTACTATAATAATTAGTAAGCACATTCAACATTACAGGGTGGCTACTAAATATTGGCGCATGGTTTATTGACTATATTTTCACAAAGAAAAGCTATTAAACGCGGCAGACTGGAAGGAGGGACAAGCAGTGGCAGCTACGCTGTCACTTTGCTCAACTTATACTGGGTGGCGCTATACCAACTTAGGCCGCTAGCGAATGATTTTATTTCGTGAAGGCACAAAGAATTTTTTTCCTTGAAAACGTAATAGTCAGGAGTTCTATGTACTTCGCAGTTTAGCTAGGGTGCGTGTCAACAGAATCGTCCGGTGACCCGCGCTAGTGGTCGGGCGCGGTGGCGGTGCGGTGCGGTTGGACATCTGTGATCCGTCATCCCTATGTGACGATGTTTACAGAGTGGGAGCGCCCGAAGACACGATCGTCTCTGGCCTTCTTTCGCTAACAATCTCTATCAGAAATTCGATTGCAATAGTGGTCTAATACGCGCCTTTAGTGTCTAGAATGTGTCTAATACCGCTATATAGCACGGCATTAATAAATAACTCAAAATTATAATACATTGACTCTACCATGTAACGATGGGCACAGATTTGTGCATAGCATTACGACCTATTCATTTTAATACTTAACTAGGTTTGGTTCGCACCTAAGTAAAGGTCGGCGACCTTAATTAGGTGCAAACCAGACCTAATTAAGTACAAAAAGGTGCCGCTTTCTACGAGAACATCATGTGAATGAAGTAGACTCATGAAAAATGAATCTGCTCCATCGTCAAATACGAATAAGGCCCATCAAATAACTGCCGCGTTACGACGCCGCGCAAGTGATCGCGCGCGACTAGCGTCACTCCCGGACGATTCTGTTGACCGTCGCCCCTCTTTAGCAATTAGGGTACACAGTCAAGGTGGAGTTGATCAAAACAAGTTCGCTTCTCAAGCTCGATCTCTACTTACTCGTACTTATAATCACAGTGAAAAAAGAGCACGATCAATATTCGGAGCATTCATTTATTGATAGTAGAGCCAGCCTTTGCCTGTGCCCATGGCAACACACTAGTGAGTACTACCACCGTACTGCGTGCGCCACGCTGTAGTTTTTCCATGGAATAAATGACCAATGACTATCACTTGGAGCTGATTAAAGCCGACGCTGTAAGGCAACACGATGTTCCCGCTACCGAGCAACACCACTGCTCCCCGATCACAAGGATCAGGAGACAGTACTTGTCCATTTTGCATCAAAATTTTTAAAGGCCACAGTATTGTCAATAAAGTGTTGCAGTTACACAATAAGTAAAAATCCGACTTTCTGGAAAATTTATAAAAAAAACACTCCTACTACAATATACCATGAATTCTCTCTAACATCGATCGCTCGCTTTCAATGCATCTTTTGAGGAATCAATCTAAGTTTCGATTCATTTTCAGACGACAAACCTTGACTCTCGAAAGCCATTACTCGAACAATAACTTTCCGACTCTACTTGGATTTCCTCGTTAACAAGTGTAATTATTCAAAAGTATGAAATAATTCTTAGGGCCGACAAGGTCTTTGAAGACAGGCTTCAACCTGTCTTAATAACCAAAGCATTTATCGATCAGAAAGTCGTTGATGTAGTTGAAGAAGTTGTGGTCGGTGAGGGAGAGGTCTAGCAAATACGTAGGCGAGAAAGAGTCTCGCATCTCGCATTTCTGTGACCGCGCTTTGCCTTCAAGAAGTGAGTTCTCTGTCTTGACTAGAGCAGGAAGCATGAAATTTAGGAGGAGTTTCTAGCGAATGTTCCAAAATGTACCCGTGCTGTTCCTTCTCAATAATGTAAGCGCTGTGCTGATTAGGATTGCTGCAAAAAACTCAACAAGTCGCTTGACGCATCTTTGACATATATTGGATTTACAGGTGGGCCAAAATCTGTGACGCAAACGTGCGCGCGCGACTTAACGCACGTTTTTGCTGCCGAGACGCTCCATTTTTATCTCCTTTTCTGTGCATTATGTGAGAGGGCTTGCAATGTCGTCTTCCTAACGAAACTAAACATTTATGCAGTTCCTCAAAACTAGTGAAATAACTACATCACTTTAGTCAGTCCTCAAATTGAACTCACTAGGGGCTCTGGCACGTTACATCTAGCGGCAGTCTAACGTATCAGGGAAGCTCTTATGGAGCAACAGTTCAACTCTTCAATAAGTTTGGAACCACCACAGATGGAAAATTCGGAGACTCGAAAGTTACAGTTACCACCAGGACAATTATCAGATGCAGAAACTTGCTCTCCCCTTGTCGACTTTCGTACTCCCAAAATGAAAAAATTGATGTGAAACCCAGTCAGGCAGCTCTAAAGCCTCGACATCTGCAGTGAATAGAAAAGTAGAACCATTCGAGTAGTCTACTTGGGATCTCGATTCAGGACCGAGCACCCAAGAACGAAGCAAAAATTCTCTAAAAAGAGATTTTTCGAGTTTGTTGCTTTCGAAGAATTGTTACAATGGAACCTTCCACCTAATAGCTCTAGATTTCTGTATTTCACACCTTGGATGCAAGCGCAAATAAATGCCCCACAAAAGCTTTGATCCCCTGAAGAAAGCAGAGCAGAAGGCCTGGAAACATTTTGACACGCCTCAGTTGCGTGCCACCGCGCGCGCCATCCCCTTCATCTGAAGGCTCGTGTAAACGCGGCAGGTGGCAGATCTCAATTCTATTCTGGAATTACTTTGAGATAAGAGTTAGATATGAGTACAAACACATCACTGAAGTTTGTTTAATCCATCAAGCTGACTAGAGCCTTTAAAGGCAAACTCCGGAATTAAACTGGTGCTAAGAGCGCTTCGCAGTGATAGCTTAGCTGCGGAGCGACCCCAAAGTGGAGAGGGAAGCGAGAGAACTCTTTGGGAACGCTGAACTTAAGGCCTTAACCTTCAAAAAGGTCGGATGTGGTACGACGGCAAGACAGGGCGATCAGAGAGGTCAAAACACGCGAGAGAGAACGTCGTTTGAGAGAGCACGCTGATCTCTACATCAATGCACGCTGATCTCACCACATCTCGCGGTGGGTGGGAAGCGTTCGATGGTTGGAGGCCCGTAAGGATTAGCGCCCTAACCGCGCGATTTTCGCGACCAAGTTGAAGTGATCTAGGTAGGTACGGGTCTTACAATTTCCCTCGCGGTATCCTTCCTACTAGTCGGGCTAATCCCGGGGTTTGCCTTTAAGACAAAAATATCTCTTGGTCTCCTATTTGGTCGCCCCCCTGTAGCAGAACTTACATGACCTATTAGCTTGGTGCTCCTCACTTGAGCTCTCGCGTCTTGAATACGTAGTCCACTCTTCCGAATTTAGCAGGCCTTACAAACACGTCCACCTTAGAGTTTTCGAATAGCACTAGGACGTGGCGCAACCCTCCTACACCGATTTAGTTGCGTGCTCGCTAAAAGGTAGGACACACATTGCTCTGCTTTTTTTTTTTGATTCCGCAACGCTTTCATAATTTCAGATAAAGTAGTCAGGTGCCCAGACCCTAAGAACTTTATAAAGGTTTACACAACAGTCGGTGGTCTTTCTTCCACCACTCTTTCCTTGTTTTTTCTTCCCTTTTAGAGATCAGCAGAAAGTGCTGCCGCGGCCTCTCAAGCTTGAACGGTCTGTTCGCCACGGGGACCTTTTGGATTCAGTGTGTGAACCCTGCTTTCGCGTATGATCTGGGTTATATGAACATCCCAGTTCATCTTTCTAGCGCCGTATTGAATAACTTAGGATCTAGATCACTTGACTAGTAAGGCAATCCTGCAAGGAATGTAAATTCTGTGTCGCCAAACCATTGCGCGATCACGGGTGCTAAAGAGCCTGCCGCTATCGAGCCGCACCGTAACACCTCTCCACACCACCTGCGGTTGATATAAGCTCAGCGTGCTCTCTCCAACGACGTGCACTATCGCGTAAATCGTCTTCCCTGATCGCCCTGCCTCGCGGTCGTACCACATCGGACCATATAAGTTTAAGGTCTTAATTTTATCGTTTGCGATTACTTCTTTTGAGTTCTTCTCCACTTACAAATCATTCTGCAGCTTAGTGATAACAACGATGCGCTTTTATACACCACGGTTATCCTGGAACTCCCCTTTAATGGGAAAAACGCTTACGGTTTGACGATCTTTTCACGCTTCATCTTACTCTTCTTATGATGTCGACGCTTCTCGCCTGATTCTTTCTTTCTATGCTTGTCTTTCATTTTTCTTGATGCTCGACTTCCTTTCTTTGACGACTTCTTGCTAGAGCTTCCTCCCAGTTTATGTTTTTTATTTTTTGAAGATTTTTTCGATGGCTTTTGAGACATTCCTCGTTTTTGTTTACTAATTGTGCCGGACGGTCGAGCTGAGCCGCCACGTTTACCACGCTTTGCTGAGCCGCTCCTGAACAAACTAAGCTTAAACAGACCTCACTGGATAGGCTCTCTCCACTATTGAGACCGCTTCCCCTTTCTCAAGCACCTCAATAAAGATGCGTGCGAAAACAACAAAGGGATACACTCCTTACAGGAGCGACCTGAATAGTAGAACCGCGCGTTTCCCGGTCACTAATTGCGAAAGAGGTGCACCATTCCGCGAAACTGGAGATTTTGTCGAGTGCAACCGCACATACACACTTTTACGAGGCCTCAAAAATGAATTTCCTGTTAAAGAAATGATTAGCCGTTGCAGTGTAATCTATTAGTTTGCCAACTATTATACACTTAGACTCGTTGCGTTGAATTCTATCATTGGTCACTATTCTATAAACTAGCATTCACTCTAATCAACTCACTCTGAACCACTTGGAATCAAGATTATACTTTGGGGCCGTCGCGCTTGTGTGTGTGGTACCTGCACTCGGCGCGCTCCTGGTCCTCGAAAACAGGGTATAGTTACTGTTAAGCTTACGCTTTCTTGGAGCAACCAGCGATCCCTTCGTGGATCCCTTTGTAGACCCTTTCGTAGATCCTCTCTTAGATGATCCTTTCTTGGAATCTTTTCTAGATCCTCTTTTTGATGCTTTCACAGACCCTTTTCTTGAACAGCTTGATAATCTCAATGCTTTCCTTGATCCTTTTATCGATCCATGTCGGCCTTTTTTATCTTTCTTCTTTTCGAGAGGCTCTTTCTTTTTCTGGCTGCTTTTCTCTTTCTTCTTACTCTTCTTACTTTTCTTACTTTTCTTACCTAAATATTTAAGTTTCTTTTGATAGAATGTCACAGTTCTCAGAAAATGTGGGTGATAGTTGTTAAAAGAAATATACGAAGCGAAGAAAACGCTGACGGTGAGATAGCATAGCCCAATTATCGGAAGCTTAACAAAACGCTGCCACATTGAAGGCTAACGTTCAATTCTGTATTGTTTTTACATTTCAATATTTGTCCGTTTCAGGTTTAGGCAATACGAATATCCCTTCGACCCGCTCATCATGGCGGTTCGCCATGCCAACGACATGCAAATGTCTGTTGATCGCAGAAATGTAACACTCAAAGGTCGTGGCAGGTTCTCGCGGAGCATGCAAGATTCCCGAGTATGACTTGCAATCTTAATGGAGGCGCCTTAGATTACTGTTTGCAGGCTCTTCTTTCTACAGCTACATCTGTCCAAAACGCTGAAACCGACTGGGTGTACAGCGATTTTTTGTTTATAGGCTTTCCTGCAGCAATATAGGCTGTCTACTATTTGGTCTTGTGCATTGGTCTATTTCTAGTTTTGTTCTGTCTGATTTTCCTTGCCCCTTGAGTCGGTTGGCACACACGCTCGCATTCAAAAACTTGTTCACCATCTTCGAAGAAATGAATAAAAAAGCTAAAGATAAAGCTTTCGCCGTTGATCAATCCCGTCTTGGGATGCGGCACGCATTCTACTTCCATTTGTACATTCGTAGTGGCGTTTGAATGCGATGTGGCCTATACAATGACTTGCGGGGGCCAGCCGATAGTCCAAGTCAGTGTTTTTTTTTATCATCCTAGACAGACCACCGTTTGGCCCCTTACTCAATGACAGCCGACCCCGGGAGGGATGGAAGGCTTGGTCATGCCCCGGGCAGCCCACCTACACGACCATCGATTTGAATCCCACCGGACCAACCCAAGACTCGAGAAGAGAAACGACAAAGACCAACTATAAGCCCATAAAACACCCACATACGTTCTCATGAGAATGAACTAAGATTTTACACCAGAGGCTTTCCCTCCACTTCGCCGGCAGTAGACTCATTTCACGCCCGCGATACGATCTAGCCACAAAAGTGACCAGGAACCAAGATAACAAGCGACAATAAATCCCATACATGACCGATCGGGCAACCATCATGGAGAAAAACAACGAACTAATAAAACAGATCGCCTTAACCGACTTTGGAGCTTAAGACCCCCTTAAAGATAGCTGCAGCAGCTGCACTGTTGCACGTCATCATCAAGGTGTTGTCTGGCGCCTTCTCGTCTGCTGTGCTCTCTCGTCACATATTTTCCGCGCCCATTCCCTCCTTGCCTTAGCACGGCGCATCACGAAGGTACAGCACATTTCCATCCTACACGATTTCGAAAGGTTCTTTTCCTTTATCTTCTTTACTCGCCCATCCTGTAGATCTTTCGTGCGGTGGACAGGAACACCCCACGTGTCGATTCTAGTGCAGCCTTTACATATTTGCGGTGATGTGATAGGGCAACAACAGCTCTGAAAGAGTGTGATGTTGTTATACAGAATTCCCATGAACACAGCTAAGTTCTTGGAAGGGTTTCGCTTATGAAGGCGGATCGATCAAGTTCTATACAACTTATTGTTCGACATTTTCTACTAGGCTGCTCCGGAAACCGCCACGGTTTCACCACAACGAACTTCATATCTTTATACATATGGTGATGGTTAGAACATTCTGATACAGGCAAGAGCGGAAGACTATAATTAGTTTCGATGATCTATCAAAGATTATACAGAGGACAGGAAAATTAGTTGGGTTGAGCAAGCAGTGTGGCTTCACGATAATCACTGGATAGGCATACTTGTCCCTATAACTGCTATGTCCGAACAGTCACGAACAGTTGTATCATTCGAAGAGCAGAATTCTCTGAAGTGCTGTAATGCGATAGTGATGAAGGGAAGCGTTGTTGGCCACGGTGTTGAATAACACTGACGGACAAAGGGCGCAGTATAATGCAGATAATCGCGGATTCCGAACTTTTAAAGAGTGGCTGTGATAGGTAGGCCTTTATTGTATCCTAATGAGATCATCGTCCACTCCATTTGAACAGCGTTAACGCCTCACTTGTTGACCTACTGATGTGGAAGAAAAGCAGTAGAAATCCAGCTGGAGAAATTGGAAAAGAACCTCCTTATATTGTGATCTAATAGTCCCCGAATCCCCTCTTCTCCAGTGATTCCAGTCAATACGTATCTGATCTTTTCAGCGAACCTAAGCCTTTCAATCAATTTCGGTATCGCTTGGTCACTTATGTTCCAAAATCTTTGAGGAGAGACGCGGTCTTACGCTGTCATCTACGGTCCATATCTCAAAGCAGGTGGCAGCCGCGGCACTTGATAGTTGCATTCAAGCATGTTTATAGTTAGTTGATATCCAATGCACTATGTCAGGAACTGCTTATCCACATGACTTCTATCAAGTGGCAGCGGCCACTTCAAATCCATAGACACGACCGACAGACGGCGAGATATGGACTGTCCATCGCACAGTTATGCTCGCTTTGCTATGAACTAGTCTTATCAGGTCCCCTTATCAACAGCATCTCATTTTAGTCTGTGCGCTGATTCTGGCACGGCTCTTCTTCCAGCTTACGCTTTCCGCACACGGCTCCCGATTAGCTGAGTCCGGTTGATCGAATTCATTAGCTGAGTCCTGTTGATCGAATTCAGTCCCATGGATACTGACATGCGTACATCCTGACACAATTTGATCCTATCTGGAAGTGAGCCCATAAGCGCAAAGCCAAGTATCCGCTTCTTACATATTACTACCATTAGTCCTGAACATTTCTGATGGCTCTAAACAAAAGTCATGTTCGTAGTTCATTTGACACCAGTAGAAGTTTCTATTTATATATACAGGTAAGTACATAAATACTATATTGTTTAAGATATACGTGCTTCATCGGAAAATGCACTTTTCAAGAAACAACTTTCATTGAATGACTAGCAAACAACATACGCGGCTTATCAGGGCTCGGCATGCCGGACGTGCCGGCCGGTTAGAGGTTAGTGCAGAAGAATAGTGAACTACCCCACCTACTTCGCAAGCTTATATCGACTACGAAAACAAACATCGACTGTGATTACTAGTGAAGCTATCGTAGTCTTCGGATAGATGAAAATCAACTCCAGACGAAAGTCCCTCATTGGAGGTCACTGAATCCTCTCGGGCATTTGTATGCAGCCGTCCACAGGAGAGGAAGCTTCGCATTTCATCCAAAAAGAGGCTGAGTGACAGTGCCCGTGCAAGCAGATACTTATTGATTTCGGAAGGGTCACGGGGCGCTGGCAGTGAGTCTTGGGGGGGAATTGAAGTGAGTGGTAATATAAGCTCGCGACTAAGCTCAGGAAGGAACAAAGGATTGAGCACAATTGTTCTCCCTGGGTATTATTATTCGCGCCATCCTGGCTCAGTCTGCCAGGGGGGGGGGGAGGGTTTTCGAAAGTTGCTGTTTGAATGTCCCCCTAGGACATGAGCGCATGTATGGTATGACTGTAAAACGTAAGCAATACAAACTTATAATAGTGGACGCGTAATCAAAACTGGACTACACCACTTAATCATGCTGTGTACACTACGATGAGCATGTTTTCCTATGTAGCCCAATGGCTATCAGATCTTAGCAGTTATTGCAGGCAGCTTTGGAACTTTTACTTTTTCTTAACCTACTCCTTTTACGGATCACCACCGTATGGTCGTCCTATGTCGTCATGAGATTGGAAAAGGCAGAAGTGAAGAGACAAGGAGAAGTGGGGCCCTTTTCCTCTTGGTTTCCTGATCTCCTATCCTCTCCTTCTCCCAGCCAATGCTTATTTGGACTTCTTATCTGAATTTCTCTCCTGACCAGTTTTTCTTCTACTATCCAGGAACTATTAAACGATCTTGTCGTTAGGGTTTGGTTTTTTGCTGCCATGTGCTACATTGGAAGGTGACCTTCCCTAAGATTTTCAGAAAAAAATTTCCATAGCAAATTACTTCGTTTTTTGAATTGCTTTGTTTGTTTCACTAGGACAACTCCTTTTTCGGAAGATGGTGGTTTTTTCTGTTTACTTCTGAAAAATGAGAGCGCTTTAAAAAAAGAAACTTTGAAGAAACTTTCATCGGAAAGAACCTTTTTG